GGCTTGCAAGCTTAAGGGAGTCACCTCACCTTAAAACCCTTCAGGGGTTTCTCAACTGGTTGGGGTGTCCAAACTAGGGATCGGAACGAGCTGCCAGGTTGTATCATCCGGATTGCTCCAAGGGTTGCTCAGGGGGATGACCATACCAACCTTGTAGCACAAGGGGAGGTAGGTCAAGAACCCCGAGTCCTTTAAGCCCTCAAAGTGGTGCGGAAAGTCCTGGAGGCGGTGGAGGAAGACCTTGCACAAAACCTCGGGGGAGCCATAGAGGTGGATTTGTTCTTCCACCCATGGACCAAACATATCATGTTTGGCACATAGGCTAAGGAGCCCCTTGGTTGCCGCCTTCCCAGGCCAGTGCTTGTGCTGCGCTTCTCTCCAGCGGCCCCCGTCGTACAAACAAACCTGGACGTAGTCGGCCGAGCGCAGCTTTGCACTTTGAAGCGCCATGTTCTCGGCGCGTGTGCGCGCCAAGGTCGGGAGGGCCCAACCTACATTGTGCTCCCCAAGATCCGACAAGCGGATATGGCAGGCACTCAAAAACGCGACCACACTTAACAAAGCCAGGAGGTCCGGGACATCAAGTGTCCTAAGCCTTCCCTGCGGAGAAGCCACAGGGATGACCCGCCTGTAGAAAACCGCGCGGCCCCGTAGGGTAAAACCCTTGCCATGGCCATTCTCTGACAGGGTGAGCAGAACATCACCAGAAGTCCCCGGTCGAGGGATAAAGGTGAAATCTCTGGATAGTCCCTCCAGAAAAATCTGCTCCTGGCCCATGTCCTCGGCGAGCCCCAGTTTGAGGACCTGAAAATCGGCTCCAAGTCCCCATTGAGCCGGGGGCTCCGGTGACACGACTGCCACCTACCCCCAAAACGGCCCATACCCCTCCATGCTCGTCCTCCAGCTCCGCCGGAGTGTAAAAAGTCCAAGGCGTGCCAGACGAGCCCTTTTTGTTAAGGGACACGCCTCGGAGGGATCTCGGGATCTTCAGGGGCTGCTTGTAGAGAAGCTCCAAGGGAACCTCCGAACCTGGCTCCCTTCTGAGGTCCTCGCCCTTGATTCCCGGATCTGGGCCTGGAAGGGACTCCGCTGGGGATGGAGCCTCCTCCGAAAACTTGGTGGTGGCCGGTGAGTTTGCCTCAACCTGGTCACTGGGGACAGGATCTGGATGAGGTGAGGGTTCCTCAACCTGCTCAGGGACCAAAGAAGAGGCTGGCTCAGGTGAGATCTTCTCAACCTGTGTTTTGGAAGCCTTGCCTTCTGTATCCGGCTTGGGTGCCGGTGAGGTAACCTCAACCTGGGAGCTCTGGGCAGGCTCCTGCTTAGGAGAGGTCAGTACCTCTTCCTGCTCATGCTCCGAGGGAGAGGCCGGTTCAGGCGAGACCTTCTCAACCTGGGTTGTGGCGGCCGGGCCTGGATCACCAGCATCTGTATCCGGCTTGGTTGCCGGTGAAGGAACCTCAGTCTGAGAACTCTGGGCAGGTTCCTGTTTAGGAGAGGTCAGCACCTCATCCTGCTCAGGCCCCAAAGGAGAGGTTGGTGCAGGTGAGACCTGCTCAACCTGAGTTGTGGAGGCTAGGCCTGGTTCATCAGCATTGGAAGGCGAGGGCACCTCAGCCTGCAGATTGGAACCGGAGGCTCTTGGCGAGGCCTCCTCAGCCTGGGCCTCTGTGCGTTGCCGCTTTGGCGGTGGTGGTGGTGGGGTTCGGGCTACCCCCGGCTTGGGTGCGGCTTTTGGCCTCGTGATAGGGGCCTCAACCGACCTTGACAAGTTGGGACCAGAAGCCGGAGGTTCCCGGTCGGTACCTGAATGCTGGCTTTGCCTGGAGTACCTTGATCTCGAAATAGCAGGTTTGCCCTCACTAAAACGATGCTGCAAGAGGGCCTGGTACCGCTGTTCCGTTACCGGGTCCTCGAAAGGGGCATTCTGCCCCTTCCCTGGCTTATTCTTCCCTTTTCCTTTACCCATCTTGGAGCCAAAAGCTGCGAGAAGGCTCAGACATGGAGGGTTAGCAAAACCAGGTACGAGTAGCACTTAGACCAGGCTACATCTGCAGGCTTGGCGCAAACAGCACCTACCCCATCATCAGTAATGAGCTTGGAGGGGAGAAGTAAAGTTCGATAATGTCCAGAGGTCGGGGAGTTGCCTAAATGCGAGACCACGGCCTTGGGGTAGTAACGAAGAAGTTCCCCATCCAATCCCTCAAGCACACAAGGATCCTCAAAACCAACTGGGTTCTCGAGCCTCCGAAAACCCCCCCCTTCCCTAACAAACCTCAGAAGCTGCAATGCAATCAAAGGCGGGTGAGTAAGGATTTTCACTTCTCCACCTTGTTGCCAATTTGCCAGAAGTTCCCTCATAGAGACTTCGTGCTCCGGGAGGTGAAGAGGAAGTGGGAAAAGGTTACCCTCGTGGTGAGGTGCATTGGGAGCATGAGCTCGCCATGAAACGCAAGAGAGGTCACGGGGAAGCCCCGAAGAAAGGTGCATGAGAAGTTGACAAACATCATGCTGGCTGTTTGGGGATTCCCATCGACCCTGGCCTGCAACTAATCTCTTCCAAACCAGGGACTGCCACAGCTCGACTTTGCGCTGATCTTTCAACCATCGCAGGATGCCCTGGATGGGGGATCCAGCAAAGGGGCTGGAGGCATCAAGGAGCAGGTCAACCCAAAAGAAACCAACCACCAGAGAATTGGTGTAACAATGGTTGGATGGATTTTGGAACTTCACCTTGCGAACAATGGAGCCAGCAGCCCTTAAGTCTCCAAGCTCTGGGCTTCCAGGATCCCGGTAATCGCGGACAGCAGGAGAGGGAGGCTCAATCCTGACGATGTTCTGCAAGGGAGGGTCATCGGGAGGGAGAGTTTGCAGGGGAGTGGCCTCAACCCTGTTAAGTGGTGTTGCAAAGAAGTTGCTAAGGTTTTGGGCTTTTGGGAGAGTCTCCTTAGAAAGCTTGCTAGCCTTCTTGGAGGCAGGTAGTGACTCCGGAACCCCTACGCCACTTAACAAACTCTTGGTGAACTTAGTCAGTTTGTTAGTGTGTTTACGGGTCACACACAGGGACTGGAGGAGCCCCGGGACTTTCTTTGCCCGCGCTGGCAAAATGCCTTCACACACTTTACACTGCCAAGCTTTGCCAATGGAAACAAGCTGATGGGAAGAGTGACAGGCCAGGTGCTCCGGGGGACGACCTTCCCTTCCCAAGCACGGCTGGGCAAGGACCTGCTGGAACAGTGAAGGAGGGTCCACTTGCTGCAGGTAAAGGCCACATTTCCCACACATGGCTGTGAGGTTCGTAGGGTGCTGACTCCGAATTTCCCACTGGTGTCCCAGCGGAGAGACGGTTTGGCTGACGAGTTGCTCAATCTGTTGCCTTTTGTTGAGGGTTGGAGGTTTTGGCTGGCGCTTGCAGAAAATAGTCTTCTTGTCCTGCGTAGTAATCAAAATCTCCGCCCTCTGGCTAAGTAGCTGGGAAAGGGTGGAAACCAGCGTGTCAACTTGCCTGACTTGCTTTTTGGCATCAGGGTGCAAAGCTTGGTCAGCCCTGGACCCAGCAAGTTGGTCAGCTTCCTGATTCAAATGCCAACGCCAAACCTCATCTTTTCCAAACTTTTCAGCAAATTTTCCTACATCCAAGTGGGCCTTGACCCAATGAAGATGTTGTGGGGATATGTTCTGCCATTGGGGTTTCCAAAACATGGAATGCTTGGATGTAACCGCCCTAGCTGCAGCCTGCTTGCAAGCTACCCGAGAGTCCGTAGTAAGATCCGTCAGGCCTGGGCAAAGCTCATGGGCCTTAACAATGGCATGGACCTCCCCATCTAGAACCGTGGCCGGCCGAGGCAAAACCCCGCTCGCAGTTGCAATAATTGTGATGCTTTGGCCCGTTTTGCGTGCTAGAATCACAGCCCATCCAATGGTCCGCAATCTGGGATCGGAAGAAAATTTTCCGCCACTGGCATCAGTACCAATGACAAGATCCGAGTCCCAGGGCTGTGACGGCCAGGTGCCCGCATACCTATCCTCAGCGTTCTGAAGTGGCGAGGAGACATAGGCAAGAGGGGGAAGGGCTCGCAACCAAAGGCAGGGCGCAGGATGGGACTGACGCATTTGTTCAAGATGCCTGGGAAGCTTTGGCTGTCTGGCCCATCTGGGGCAGTCCCACAGCACATGTTGTAGTGTGTTTTCTGAATCAAGGCCCCGATCCTTACAGTAAGGGCACTTGGGGTGGCCACCACTTCCCGCATGCACAACTGCACCTTGCCAGATTGACCTGTAGAAGGTCAGACGTTTGGTCTTCTTTAAAGCAATGCGGCGATGAATTGTGAAATCTACACCCTCCTGAGCTCCTTGGCCGCCATGTTGGCCAGAGATGGCTCGCAACCTTTCGCTCTTGATGGTAGACCGAATCTTGCGCCGCAGCTCCTGAAAAAGAAAGGGGCTGAAGTCAACGGGCCAGGGGTGGCCATCAATATGCCAGACTTCCGGGGACTGGACATCCCATCCCATATCCCTGGCATACTGAATCATGGCCGAAATGGGTCCGGCAACGATTTTCCAAGGGTGAGGCGAAGCCTCCAACCTGGATTTGACCAAGGGCCAGGACCTTTGAACTTCCTCCCAAATGGAAGGAGAACGGCCAAGAATACGAAGAAAAACTTGCAAATGCTCACAAATGATCTGCTCTCGGGGATCCGGAAATCTGTGGGAGAACATCTCCAAGACGGTCAGGGTTCCTCCTAGATGTTGGCGTCCTAAGCTACCAGCCAGCACAGCGCGGTGCCATTTCAACCGTTTGGGACTAACACCCTGTGCCTGATGGCCATAGGTGGCACATGTCATGATGGATCCGCGCACAACCCTCGTGCGTGAACAATGCGAATCAACACCTAAAGCACGAAGGCGCTTGTGGCGGCCTTGCGCCTTCTTGTGCCTGCCCAGAGAGGTGGCAAGCCTGCGGCGTCTGCCAGCATTGCTGTCAACCCCTAAGTCTTTGGCTAACAGAGTAATGCCGAAAGCTCCAAAAGCAAAGGTGGGAACTGCAACAGGAGTCCGGTGTCGACTACCGAGGCCCAAACTACACAATCATAGAAACCTTTGATATCAAGAAAGAGTCCTACAAAGTGTTTGGACTGAGTTCGGGAGGCTTCGGCCCACAGCAACCGGCGGATGCCGATGTCTAAAGATGTTCGACCTGGCACTGCGGCATCCCAAGGAGCCAGGGCCTGGTAGGAGACCGTCCACTCTTGGATCAGGGACCACCTGGCTCTGCAGTAGTCCCTCCACAAAACGTGAGTTAAAGAGATAGGTCTCTCAGCAGTAGCCGATTTGGGCAGCATACAAACTTGTGTCAGGAGAAACTGCTGCGGGACTCGGAGGCCTCTTTCGAGCTCCTGATAAAATTCAGCGATGTCCTGAAGCATTGGCCAAGTCAATTTCTTGAGAAGGGACTTGCTCCAGCCGTCCGGTCCTGGGGCAGTGACCCTGCCTTTGGAAAACCTTTGTTGCAGCTGTTCCGGGGAAATGGGGCTCAGGGTAGCGACCTGCTGAGCAGCCAGTTCCCGTAGCTTTCCGCGAGCCTGTTGCTCTGCGTGTGGAAGAGGAGGAAGGTCCTCAACTCTAAGTACGCCTTTCCAAGTGCGGAGCCATAGTTTGGTTCTAGCCAGGGCGCGGACCTCTGCGGACAGATCCCGAAAGGGACGTGCAGTGGTGATTTCACCTTTTTTGATCGTCTTGAAAAGGGGGGCCATCCCTTTTTCTTGGGCTCCCTGCAACCACGACCTGTACGACTTGGTCTGGGCATCCTGGTGAACTTTAGAGGCCAGCAGAAATTGCTCCTGCAATAATTGCTGGACGGGCTCGGGAACAGCAGCCTGCTCCGAGAGACAGGCCTGGAGCGTAGAAAGAAAAGAAACAGCCTCCTCCGAGTTGCCCTGCCAGTGGTCCAGGATCTGCGGCAAATACTCCTGGCATTGCTCTCGACGTTTGGGGTGGTCTCCCTGGCACAGAAATTGTACCCGGTGCCAAAAAGCCTGGCAAGAACCTTCCCATGCGAACTGGGACATGCGAGGAACAGCTGGGAGGAATTCAACTTGGAGTTGGCGACCAATACCCTGGGACGATTGCAAAAGACTGTGCTCCACCGAACTGGAAATGGAAGCCAGTCGATTGCTCAGGGGGTCAGCCGAAAAGGTGGTATCCGGCAAAGAGGCGAGGGTCTCCTCAACCTGTATATAATCAAGCGGTTCTTCCCTGAAGGAGAGCACAAAGGAGGGAAGCTGTGGAGTGGTGAGCTGGAAAGCGCCCACATTGAGGGCAACTTGGATTGCTGCATGTGGCTTGAAAGGAACATCCCAGGAGGCATCAACCCGGAGCAAACCTTCCAGGCAGTGTGATACAGCCAGAAAATCAAGCTCATTGTCACCACAGGTGGCTTTGTTGGGCCCAATTGGTTCCAGGGACAAACTTTGAAAAATGGCAGTGTCCAACAAATCCTTCAAAGGCGAGTTCCAGTCTCCACCTATCAGGATTGGGCCCCTCACAGATTGACGAATTGCGCGCAGAGATGCAAGGATGTCAGAGTTGACCGGGGACCCGAAGCCGGAGGAAGACTGGAGGTACAGGCTAACTACTGTCAAGTCAGCCCCTTGTGTGCGTAGCGTCACCGCCACGTAGCCACAACCTTGGTTGGTATACTGACCTCGCAAACGGGCTCCCAGGTGGGCTCTAACTAAAACCCCAACTCCGCCTCTAGAGCTATTCCGTCGGCCTTCCCCAGGGGCTGCGGGCAAAAGGAAGGAGTCGAAGCCCATGGCAGCCATAGACGAGATTTCAGCAACAACTTGGGACTCCAAAAGATGGTGCTCCTGAATCAAGATAACATCCCCTTGAGCTGAAAACCATTGCTTGACTTCTGGTCTCCAAGAAGTAATGTTGCAAGATGTGACTCGCATTTGCCTGTGCCCCTGTGGCTGCGATTTGCACAAAACTTCAAAGCCCCGAGCAACAAGCAAGAGCAAAGTCAAGTCAAAAGAACGTTGGAGGGCCAAGATCTCCTGGCACAGCCACCAACCTAAGCTGCCCTGCTCAACCTGATCAAGAAGGTGGCCGACAACCTCTGAAGTTGCTCCCAACAGATCTGGGTTCTGGACAGCCTCCCACACCTGGCCTTCGAGTTTTCGCCACTGGCTGTGTGGGCTTGCCAAAGGTGGCACCTCAGGTGGCATTTCACAAGGGGCAAGCTGAGAAAAGGGTACCCTAATGTGTTTGGGCTTTTTCGCTCTGCGTCTGGTTTTATTACGTTTGCGGGTGACCCCAACCTCGGCATGGCTCCCCGACGCCTGTAAGCGAGGAAACTCCTCAACTTGAGATGCCGTTGCTGAGGTTGTGGCCACAAAAGCAGAGATTGGAGAAGCACCGGTCACAGGGACCTCATCAAACTCAGTTGTCGAGAAAGATGGGGGCCAGAACTGGGGCCCTGTGATGAGTTGGGTGTCCTGGGACTGCAGCGGGGTGCTGTGGCGCAATCCTTTGGTAACAGTCTGCCAGGCACTCAGATCCCCACAAGAATCCCATTCTTCCTGACCAGAAAAACCTGGCAACCAAAACTGACCCCATACAAGGTCTGTGTTGCAAAATTGTGAGTAAGCCTCAACATACCCTGAAACCTTCTCTAAGGACTTGGGCTGCTGAGGTTGGCACTCCCCCAATGAAAACAAATCACTGTACAAAGAAATGGGTCGCTTAACCGATTCGCCGGAAAACCCGCATGGCTGAGAGCTGGACGCAGGGGCACAGGAAACGTCTTGATCAAGCTGAAGGGCAGGCTGAAATGCACAAGCAGGTTGCCCACTCTCCCCACTTAAAGGACCTTCCTCGAAAACAGACCTAACCTGGACCCCCAGCCCCACTCCCTAACCTTGCTGCGTGCTACGGCCTCGGCTCCTGGACCTGGGCTTGGCTTGCTCATGCGGCTCAGTGCCCTTGTGTTCTGGCAGAGTTTGGCTCAGCGGGGCACGGGTCGGAGCCGTCAAACCAGGCTGGTTTGTGGCTTCAACTTCCATATTCTGCTGCCCATCATTAAGCTTGCCGCGCTGGGCCTCCTCGTAAAGCTCCTTCTGCTCCTGGGTCAGGACAATTCCAACTTTGGCAAGCGTATCTAGAAGCCCTTCCAAGGGATCGTCCTTGCGCGCGGGGTCCTCCAGACCCGAAGCATCAGCACGGAGTGTGGCTTCCAACTCCGACTGCATAGCCGTGACTTCAGCTTGTTTGCTCTGCAAATCAGATTGGCAAACCTTCATCTTCTCAAGCAGCTCCTGGTAGGTTGCTTTGGCGCGGTCTATGCGAATCTGTAAGGCAGCAGTTTGCTGGATCATCAGTCGCAAGTCCGTAGTGCTCTGCTTAAAGCGACGAGTTGCAATCTCAATCTGCTGAGTCTGCGTGGGGGCCGGAGGATCAAGTGCTGCAAGGGCTTGCTGGATCGAGGGCGGCATTGACTCCAAGTGCTTCTTGCAAAGGGCCGCAAGGTCTGTTGGCTCCGACGCAACCGGCTCAGGGATGCCAGCTTGGCGCATCAGCTTCTTCTGATCATCAGACGCAGAATCCCACAGGTTCTTAGAGGCTTCGGCCTGCTCGTCAAGCCCACCCTTTGCCCCGTTGCCTTTTCCAGACTGGAGGCCTGGAGGCGGACTCGGCTGCCGGCCTGCTTGGAAACCTGCCTCGCTCAGTTCCTTCTGGACCTCTGGGGGAAACTTCTGCCAAAGTGTCGTGACGGCTTTGGAGAGGTTGCCCTCTTGATTCCTAGGCCGTTGGGGGCTTTGGGTGGCACTCTCAGTGGTTGCGCTTCTGTCCCTGTTCTTCTTGGGACCCCGCGGGCGCAGTCTTTGAGTGACCGGAGCACCCTGTGTTTTCCAGGCGTTACCACACAGGTTGCAAAAGGGGTGGTGCTGGACTCTGTCTACGAAAATCCAGCTCTGCTTACCCGCCCTAGAGCAGTGAGGACAGACGATGTAGGGCGTTGCTGCACCCTTGGCACCGTTTTTTCCCCAAGTCATGGCGAGCAAGCTCAACCTGTGACAACGGCTGAGCAAGTGTTCGGCTTGAAAGCACGTGCAGTATGGCGCTACCCCGCCCCAACCCTTGCTGGACAGCCAGCCTACGACCTTTAAGGTTGCGGTTTGGGTTCCAGTCAGGGCCTTTAGCAAATGTAGGGACTCCAGGCTAAAAGGCCACGTCGGCACTGCAAAGTCTGAGCCGAAAACTTGAGCCAAATGGGATTTTCTCTCGAAGCGTTCTGCTGTCGCGGCTCCAAGGCCAGGTGAAAAGAAGCTCCAAGCTACCTAGAAACACAGATCAACAGAACTACACTGCCTACGGAAGTCTCGCCCTGCCACCCGGAGGTTACAGAGCGAGACTGTTGCACACAGCGTCCTGGACCTTGTGTTGAAACCAGGCGACAAAGGATGCATGAGCCACGAATATCAACGGGCATGCAGGCAGGATGCATCCCAGAGCCTGGGGAGAAAGCCTAGCAGGGCGAAAAGTGCAAAGCCAGCACTCTCTTGACAGACCTGCAGCAAGCAGGTTGAGGTGTAGAGGAGAAGACCGCAGCAGCCCAGCGCCTGTACAAACCAGCTACCAGCAGCCTGTACACTCCCCGGTGGAATGAACCCGGTAAGGGCACACACCACCAAAGGGCTCATGAGCATTATAACAAGAAGACGAGTCGTTCTGGCTCGGCAACGAGCTGAGTGCAACCAGAAGACTATGGGCCCTCGGATTCAGGACCAGCTCAAGGTGCAAGAATGACGCACAGGTTTCACGAACAAAGCAGTAAAGCAAAACTAGATTCAATGCCCAGAGTCGGGTAAAGAGGTGGCATTTCATCAACCAGCACTGGCATTGGCATTGCTGATCAAAAAAACCGCCTAACCTCAGACCACACTAGGCAGCACCCAAAAACCCCAAGGCGCAGGTTTTGTGGGTGCAAACATACTGCAAACCTGACTTGGCCGTTTAGGGAAGATTGCAAGGGCCCAGTGTCACGGCGAAGCATCAACATGTGATCGCAGGACTTGGGCAATGCAGGTGCAGCCACTGGCGCACACCGGTAACCATCTAGGGTGCGGTATTTTTTTTTTTGAAAAGTCAGGGCAAGCCCCATGGTAGATGTTGGCAGCGGCCCGGGTTCATCCAAACCATAAGGTAAGCCCTTGTTCCAGGCCCGAGTCGGGTGTATGGCATATTCATCAACCAGCAACGACATGCAGGCAATCATGGCAAAACCAGGTAAACCTTACTACCCGGCGGGGCCGCACCTAAACAAAGCAACTCTTACAAACCCCAAGGCACAGCTTTCGGGCGCAGCCAACAGCGCACACCGGACAGGGTAACCTGGAGAATGATGGAAGTACTCCGGCGGTTGATTGATTTGTTGGCTCTCGCCATCTGCATCACGTAAACCGCCAAGGTGTGCGCTAATGCAGCCAATAAGGCGCAGAGCAGCAGTTGACTGTGATATAGGACGATGCGGGCGCAGCATGGCACACACGGCTCAAGGGAAACCCTAGCATAGAACACATTCCCCCAACCCGAGTCTAGGGCTACCATCACCGAAAGGACAGGCGGGTCTGCTTGGAGGTATCCTTGCTTTTGGCTTTGGGTTTTCCTTTTGCTTTGGGCTTTGGCTGGACAGGAATAGGAGGGTGAGGAGGGTTAGTACTACCAACCCCAGGCTGCACAACCACTGAAACCTCCTGCTCCTTGGCTTTAAAGGACTCCGCAATGGAACGGCTGGTGTCGGCTTCAACCTGGGCCATGGATCTCGCTCTCGTTTGAGAATTAAGCTTACGTCCTAGTCCTTTGCAAGCGGACTGCAAAAGTGACGATGACGAGGAAGCACCAAGCTTAACCATGGCTAGACACTTCGAGCACATAAAGAAAGATCCCTTGTTTACCATGTCATGACTGCCATGGATGTTCCAGCAGGAGGGCACAGAAGCCGCTTTGTCGCGACATGGATTGGACAGTTTGCGCTCGAAAACTTCAGGAGGGTTACACTGTTCCACATAAAGTTGGCAAACTGTGCACTGGATCGCAAAATTGTTGCTGGATTTGGCCTCACAATCCCGCCACACATGACCCATGTCGGGATCCGGATTGGCAAGAACCTCCTTAAGGCGTTGTTTTTTGTTGGGTTTTGGTGGGGTCTTAGGCTTAACAAAAGCAGATCCAGGTCTAACCAAGTGCTGGTGATCAGGGTTACCAAACACAAGAAAGTTGGAAGGGCAACGAACGGCCTGAGACGCAGCGCGATGTGGCATGGCTCGTTGTGACTGTGACTCCCGCTGACTGGCTAATCTCGCCACACCCCGTTTTTCTTCGAAAACCAAGGGGGCAGGATCTTTTTTGGAAGTCAACAAAAGCTCCACACGTTCAGCAAGAAAGGTCGAGATCTGCTGAGCAAGACGGTCCAACTCCTGCACATCATTTTTAAAGTTGATATCAACAAGGGTTGCAGCCAGCTTACCACACTTATCATCAGCTAAAGAATTGGCCTTCATGCGCCATAGCTGGTCTGCCCCAAACTCCTTTTCAAAAGCAGCAGCTGACTGGTGTGACCGAACCCAATGACAATCAAGATTATCAAGTCTCTGGGATTTCTTAATGGCCGTTTGACAGTCACAGGTGACATCAGCAAAACCGTCGACATTCTCAGCGAGGAGCTGCAGCGCATGTGTTTCGCCTTCTGCAACCGACGATCCGACGGGAAGAAACCCGGTGATGGAGGCAACGCAGGTGAGCTCGTCACCCTCCTTTTGAAGGGCCAGCAGGGCAAAGGCAACGATGCGCAGGCGGGTGTCAACACTATCCGGCCCGCCAGAGGCGTCTGTGCTGAACACATAAGTCGATGCACTAAGCTTGCTGGTAGTCGCCCATAGACCTTCGCGCTGCAAAGGTAGGGAAGACTCTGGACGATGCTGCTCCGTCCACTTTTTGGGCACAAGTCCCCTCTGCCACAAACTGTCTGAAGGCCACTTTTGCTTGAGCTCAGCCCAATGCTCAGGTGGATCGCGGTGGCGCCCAGACCAGTATCTGCACTCAAGGAGCACATGCGACCACGAGGCATCACAATGGCATAGCGGGCATTGCTGAGTGCCTCCATTTTGGTTATGAAGCACTGCTCCTTGCCACAAAGCATGTAGCCACTTCGTGGTGCGTTTGGCTTTGGCTTCACGTCGGATTCTGGCCCTATGGCTGGCCCAATCGACACCTTCAGCAAGGAGAGGGTCATCCACAAAGGCAGCAACACGGGCATGCCTCAGTTGTAGGAGTCTGGTTTTAACTCGCCCACACAGGAGTGCCTTAAAACCAGGTTCCTTCCAATCGCAGGTGAAATCCTCATCATCCCAAGTCCAATGCTCAAGACTTTGCCCATCGATCTCAAGTTGCATCAGATAGGCCTGTGCGGCCACCATCGGTCCAGAGACGCATTTCCACGGATGGGGTGAAGCCTTGAGTCGGCTCCACGTGCTGCTCCAGGAAGTTTTGAGCTGTCCCCACAGGGTCCCTGGCCATCGAAGAAAAACCTTAGTAATCGTGGCAAAGTGTTGTGTCAAGATGGTGATGAGAGGGTCCTCAAACTTGCAGTGCAAATCGAAAAGCAGATCAAGGCTGCCAAGTTTGTGTCGCTGCAGCTGCTGCGCAGCACACCCTCGCAACCATTTCAATCGCTTCGGAGAAATTCCCTGAGCTTGATGGCCCCATGCAGCAGAGGCGAAAATACCTCCTTTGTACAGCCTCCACTTGTGGGACAAGGAGGGAACTTTGAGCGTTCGCTGACGTCCTGCTCTGGCCTGGCCCTTTGCTTGACGAGCCTTTGCAACTGTAATCCTGCGACGCCGTGCAGCAGAGTAATCAGTGCCTAAGTCGCGCGCTAGGGACTTAATAGGCGGGTCGTCAGGTCCTAAACGCTTTTTTAAAGATTTTTCGGATGATGAATCCGTGCAAACAAAACACGTTTTTGCGATGGACATGTGGAGTCCATCCCGCTGCAAGGCATGCTTCAACAAGTTGTAGGATTGAGCAGCACGGTGTGCCGTCTTCTCTGCTTGAGCGCCTTCAGTATCGACACTGACATCGTCCAACCAAGCCGTGATATTGTCAGCCAGCTTGCTCTTGTGCAATGAGGAAAGGCTCGGAAACAGTGCCAGTTTTGCAATTGCTGGCGCATAGGGGCATCCGGCCATGAGGCCGGATGCCCCGAAGCATCTGGGCGAGACAACACTGTCCGAAATGATGTATCTGGCTCCTCTGTAAACTTTCAGGGCGGTGTCGGCACAAAGCGGCGGAAAATTATGAAGCAGGGCCTGCTGGGCAACAAGTTCATGTGAGACGGATTCATAGAATGTTTGTATATCTATGAAGAGAACTATTCGATGAAGCTTTCTGGCCCGAGCCAGTTCTGCTTGCAGCAGACGCCTGATGCTGACATCAAGTGTGCTTTGGCCCGGCACAGCATGCTCCCAAGGGGCTTTATGAATGAATGAAGCAAGCCATCGATCAACTTCAGAGAATCTCAGTTTTGCCCACAATCGGTATGACGAACTACACAAAGCAATAGGTCTCTCGACTAGGAGACTTTTGGGTAGCATTGTTATCAAGGTTGTCAGCCAGTGCTCCGGCAAAATCCCATCACACTCAATGCGATGGAAAATTTTTAGTAAAGCTTCTAGCGCCTCATCCGGCAGAACCTTGAACTGTGCGTAACTCCAACCATCGGCTCCCCCAGCTTTGTTGCTGAGCTTGCGGATCCTTTGCTTGATTTGCTCAAGGCTCAAGGGTGGAAGCTGTGCCGCGTGTTCCCGGGCCACGTGCTGAAGCTTTGAATCGAGCTCCGGTAAAGGCGACGGTTGCGCCTTCCACAGTTTACTCCAGAACTCCAGCCTAAGGAAAGGCCGAAATTCCAACGGACTATCAAGAAAGGGCCTCTCGACCTTGGCTTCTGGATTGCTGAGTGCTCTGAAGAGGGGCCGCATGCCAGCTTTCATGGAGGATTGAAGCCAAGACTGATAATCCGCACTTTTGTCAGAAAGATGCAACTTTCGAGCATGGCGCTGCTGGCGAGACGTGGCCGCAACCCAGGCGTCATCCGGTTCACACCCATTGAGCATGCCAAAGGCTTGGGCCTTCCATTGGTGAAGGGGCATGTTGCCAACATCAGCCCAATGAGTGTCAGCCTGAGCTAAGAAATCCTCCGGGTGTGTTAAAGGCTTGCTCTGGAGGGCCCGAAAATGTTTGGACCACGCAACGATGCGATCCCAGAAGGATTCAGCATGCCCTTTCCACAGTCGGTGTGGGGCAGACGGAGCCACCAGCGGCTTGACCTGAATCACAAAAGAACTGCCCGGAAAGCCATCTAAATTCCCACAAGACGCGGCTGCATCTCGGGACCAGCTCGCGAACACACTAGTGATCTCAGAAATTTGCTGGCTGCCCTCCCACACGACCTGACATCGGGAGGCAGACTGGCTGAAAGGTTGGTGTGCAACTTCAAGTTGTCTGAAGCGGGGCAGCTGCGGAACAGCAGTGGTGCAATCAGCTGCCAGCGAAAATTCAACAAGAGCATGTGGGCGAAAAGGTGCTGCCCAGTCAAGGCTCGGCTTAAAACAACCCGATAAGGAATGGCAAATCAAGGCATAGTCAAGGCAGGCACCATGGTCAGTCGTTGGTCCGCCTGGGGACAACAACAAGCCTCTAGCCTCGGTTGGGATGGAGGTGGCCTGCATTTCCTCAATCGGCAAATTAAAATCACCCATAACAATCCACGGCACTGCTAGACTCCGGACCGTGGCAAGCAAAGTTGCAACGATGGTGCAATTGGGCTCGGCCTGCAAAGAGCAACCAGACTGCAGGTAGAGGTTGATGACAGCCAAAGTCCACCCTTTCAAGCGAAACTGATCAACAAGAAAACCACAGCCTTCAGCCAGGAACTCAAAAGACTGGAAAACATTGTAATGTGACGCCGAGATGGTGACCAATCCGCCGCGGACTCCCTGTTGTTTTCCTCTGCTGCCGGCTCCAAAATGGCTGGAAAGGCCTCTGGCCGTAAGCCACGTTTTTGATTTAGGGACGTCCTGAAGGAGGTGGGTTTCCTGAACACAAAGGAGGGCAGGCTTTGGGAAAAGCCCCTCAAGCCACCCCTTAAACTTAGGGCCCCAGGTGGTGATATTAAGTGAACACAGCCTCAAAGGCTTGGGCTGGGCCGTAGTTTGGGATTGCGCAAGTTGTTTGGCAGCTGCGATAGGCCATGCAGGGTCAGCCTCTTCAGCAAGGCATTCACAGATGCGGTGGCCTGCCCACCATTCCAAGGAGGTCTCATCAAAATTATCCTCAATGATCTCAACTGCATCAAGAAGCTGCTTTTCAACTCTGGCAAAATCCGTCCTGGCACCTGACACAAGCAAGCTTCCTATGAGGTTCCAATCAACTTTGGGATCATGTGGTTTGTGATGCAAGGCTGGGGCAGAAGACACAAGAGGCTCACTACAGACCTGACGTGAGTCCCGCCCAGTTGGATCTGCAGAGACATCCGGATGTTGCGGGGACACCTCTGATGAAAGCAGAGCAGGAGTGCTGCCAGCAGGGCGCACATCCTGAGTCACTAGATTGGAGGTTGCAAAGGCTCCGGGCGATTCGGCTTGATTGCCACAAGAGGTATCAACGCTGCAAGTCACGGCACATCGGGCCCTCCGGGGCCCATGGCCAGCGGCCCCCTCACCTCCTGATGTAAATTCCTCCTCCTGAGAAAAGCACCCATCGCCTGAACCCCGGAGGGCAGAAAATTGACATCCAAGAGAAGTCACACGGGTACGCCCCGGACCCTGGCCCAGCGGGTCGCGACTAGCAGTGTCCGGGAGGCGCTCCTCGGACATCAAACAAGGGTGCTGGGGATGCCCCAAAAAGTGATTTATGACTGTAGACCCTGCCACACAGAGGGCAGGGAGAATGGGTTCGGGAGGGTCTACAGTAAGGCCAAAATGGCCATTTGAGGAGGAATGCAAAGCAGATTGGCAGGTTGCCCGAATGCTGCCAACAGGGCGCACATCGGGGTTTAGACGGAGCCTTCGGTTGTACCGGCGCCGGGTCCGGCGCGAAGCTGGAATTTTGCCCTGCAGTATATTACAGGAAACAGCCCCAACGTGTGTTTGCAGAACCTGAGCATGTATCGGCACACTGGTGACATCAGTAAGTTCATCAGGCTCCGGGGCCTCAGCGCAATCAAAAAAGTATGAAGGACCCGACAAGGCTACCAGATCCTTGGGCTGTTTGCACGTTGTTTGGACCTTGGCCTCCCACTTGTATAAGCACCTCGGGCAGTAGTTCAAGACATCAGACAGAGCAGTGAGGATTTCGTCACAAGGCGCATTCAAGTGAACGTGGCAGCATGCCTGCACAAAGTTTTTAACCTCCTGGTTCGAACTACGCCCTAAGACCGGTGATTGGCCACATCCAATGCACCAACCATCCGCCTCAAGACCTCTGAGTTGCTCCTGCAGGGCCTCGCTGGTCAAATTGGGGTTAGGGACCTCAGAAGGAGGGGATGCGCACGGGTTCGGGAGGGAATTGAGCCCGCACTTGGGCTTGCAAACATGCCACACAGGCTCCGAAGATGCAGTGATCCAACTCTTCATTGACACACACCGATCTCGGATAGAGCTGGCCGGAAGTTGATAATCAAGGGTCCGGCGCACTGGTGGGTTAGGGCCCTCAGCAAGAGGGAGAGCACACGGGTCAGGGCTGGGGATAAATTCAAGACAGCCATCATTGCTTGGCATCACATTCGGTCCCCCAGGACCCCGGGCCAGCGGCCCCCCCACCTCCTGATGAAGACTCCCCCTCCTGGTAAAGACCTCCATCGCCATGGGGGTCCTGGGGGCTCCCTGTAGACCCAGGGGCTGTATTGGAGAAAATTGATCAAGTTGGCCATCAGCTGATAAAGACTCCGGCACACTCCCAGCCGAACAGAAATTGGGGTTAGGGCCCTCAGGTGGAGGGGAAGCACACGGGTTCGGGCAAGGAAATGAAACCTCACTCGTGGTTGTCTCCTCCTCGAGGCCACGGGTGATTGAGGAAATCTCACACCCCCTCGAGGAGCTGAGGTCCCAGCCCTCATCCAAGGCAATCCCCATGTTCGGATCAAAACTCGCATCCAACCTGCTGCCCAAATCGGCCTCACACAGGCCTGGCAACTGCAAATTGGGGTTCGGGCCCTCAGCTCTGGGAAAAGCACACAGGTTAGGGCTCGGAATTAAAACCATGTCAAAATCTTTGCTCAAGCACTGCCAAAAGGGTCCCGAATCGGCCGTTAAACAAGCATTGCTCGAAACCAGCCTGACGCGGCACCCACTTGCCTGCACTCGGTATTCTAACAACCTGTGCACAGGTTGACCTGAAAGCACATAAGGATCAAGAAAGGCACGTGTTTGCAGCCTACAGGTGGTGCCACCTCGCGGGAAACACTGCTGGCACAAAGGTGGCAAGGAAAGCTCAGTCAAGGAAGATTGTCTCGCTAGGGGCACGTGGCAGCATGCACAACACAAATCCTGACATGCAAACTGCAACGCCCCTTCTAACGCTCCCAATCCCATCTCCGAAACCCCAACAAACCACCCCTGCACCACAGAGGGCTCTGGCTGGCCTGCGCACCCACGACTGCGCTCGGCCGGTGTCCATACGCCACTGCGCACGCGGCCTGACGCCCGGAGGCACAATGCACACACCGACCCACAACTAGCATCAAACTGGAACTCCTGGAACTTTGGACAAGGCTGCTCTCGGCACAGCGTGACAGCACAGATGGGGCAACACTCTGCTTGGCTGAACATAAGCACTGGGCAGAGCTGAGGTGGCCGCACAACGGACTGATCCGACTGCAAGGTGCAAGCAACCAAAAGCTTTTCCAGAGGCTGGGATTCAAGAGCCTCGCCTCGACCTGACTCCTGAGCTGGCTCCACGCTGCATCCACCAACAAGGCAAGTACGGCTATGACCGAAAAGCGAAGAAACAACCCGAGAAACGCCGAAGTCAAGAACCCTAATCCCCGACCCCTAACCCTGCTGCGCACTGCGGCCCCTGCTGCGGGACCTGGTTTTGCCCTTCTCCCTGTCATCCTCCTTAGCGGCCTCCTGCTGGCTTGGCCCAGCTGGAGGAGGGCTTGTCGGCGCTGCCTTCTGCGCCGGTGCATCCACGCGCCTGCGCTTTACAGCTTCATCAATGGCTTCAACAAGGCGCTGCCGGTAGTCGTCAAGCTGATCAACATCCATGGCCTCAACCTGCTTGGCAAGAGCCTCTGCTGCCTCAGGCAAAGCCTCAGGGGCCGGGACCCCAGCAACCGAGGATTGCAATTCCCCTTGCAAGGTAGCCACCAGCTTTTGTCGCTCCTCCAAGGATTCATTGATGGACTTCATGTCTGACAACATGGTGGAGTACAGCTCTTTATGCTTATCAAGACGCACTTGCAAGGCAGCTTTGCGGAAAATAAGGTCTCTCAATTCTGCAGTGGCAATTTTAAATTTTTTGCTTGTTTCGCTCATGACCTCCTGAGGCGTGGGTGGCCGCTCAGGAGGGTCTTCCAGCAGCTTCTGGATGTCAGCTGGCAAGGCACGGATGTGTTGCTTACACAATGAAGCAAGGTCCGGAGGCTGCACCTCGGGCTCTTGGATGCCAAGCTTACATAGAAGCTCACGCTGCTCTTCGCTCACCGAGGCAAACAGGGACCGAGCAGCCTCAGCCTGAGCAGCCTCATCCCGGACTTCCGCTGTTCCAACTGCACCCTTGCCTTTGCCGGCACCTCCTTTGGTTTGCCTGAATAGGCCTGGCGGGGGCTGAGGGATCTTAGGTTTCCACCCCGCCTCCTCAATCTGCTGGCGCGCGTGCTCAGGCAAGGATTCCCAGATGGTTGTCAATGCCCTCTGCGCTTGGTTCTGGCGCGGGGGTCTCGGCGTCTTGGACTCGGGCTGCTGTGCAGCAGCGGGAGACCTCCACACTCTCACAGACGGACCCCATTGCGGATCCTGCGTCGTTCCCTGCTTTGGTCCTTTCTGTGGCCAGCGTTTGCCACACTGCTGGCAACATGGCCTGTGAGGGCCAATCCGATCCGTCCACACCCACGATCCGCAGCCACAGACGGTGTAATGCCTGGACATCTTGACTGGCATCACTTCCCTGTGTGGGCCTGCGCGCTCTGCGATGGCCTCCTTTCAAGAAGCCTGCAAGAAAAACTCCTCAACTGTACTTTTGCAACAAGTAAACGGGCAATTTTGCAAGGCCCAAATCCAAGAAAATTCTGCACAAGAAAACAAGGATTGGTTCACAAGCTGCAAGAAGAGTTTGCAAGCAGTTTCAAGTGTTGCGGCTCTATGGCGCTACTCTAATGCACTTCAGGGCTCTCCCTGGAACTGCCGCTACCCCTGCGCGCCCGTGCGGGTCAGCCCGCCTACGAGGAAACACAGAGATTGGTTTTGAGGTCTCTTGAGGGCCCACCCTTAGATACGGCCTCAGAAACCCAGCCACGACGGCAACAGCGCGGCGCTCGCCACTTGAACCACAACAGCTTGAGCCAAATGGGATTTTCTTCCCGAGCGTCGGACGATGCGCGCGGCTCCTAGGCCAAACTGTACAAGCTAAGCAAAGCTACGAGTAAAGCTACGGATCTGACAGCCTAGCTACGGAAGCAAAACTACGCAGCCCGAAAGCCGCGAAGTCTTGCTGTTGCACGCAAGCCAGCCAGGCTGGACCACGCAGCTGAGGCATTGGTGGGAGTGACGTATTCAACGGGTCATGCACACAAGCCACCGTATGCCCCTCACAAAGCTCAGTGGGCCTTCACAAGTGCTTGAGGCCTCAAGTTGAAGGCGAGTTCAAGAAAAACCGTCGTCAAAGAGAAGCGAAAGGTAGCCCCGTAGACCAGCAGCAGCAGCCGTCGTACACTTTGTACAACCTAACCTACAGAGCTACCGACGACTGTACACAGCGCAGCAGGAGGTCGTGTGAACACTGAAAGTGCCCACACCACCAGCCTGCAGTGGCCATGATCATATGAACTGACGAGGTGTGTCTTGAAGGCGCCTGGCACAGTAGGCATAGTACATCAAGAATCCAATCATCTTTAGAGGAAGCCTAGACACCAACCAGAGTGGTGTGAACACGCAAGTGCCCTCACCACTGATGCTAACTTTCCTGTTGGGATCTTGAAGCTCGTTTTGGGCCTGAAACCGAAAAAATGGGCCCAGGTCCTTGGGGCTCCTCACAAGGGAATACAGACCTGGGCCCATTTTTCTTGGCTAAGAGCCCTGAGGAAATTTCCCAACCACTGAGGGACATGACATTAAAACCATAGGCCACAGCTTAGAGGGTCAAGAAAACCCTATGCAGGGATTCGCAAATGCCACAGTGCTCACAGCACCAGACAAGTCTTACAAGGATCCCCCACAAAAGCTGCCAAGTGGCATATGCTATCGCAATTCCCACAAGCGTGGGAGCATGCTCTAGACTGGCCACAAGCTGGCCTCACGGATCGCTTCAAGTTTTCGGGTGCAGCTTCAAGCGCACACCGGCAGGGTAAAGGACCAAAACGCCAAACTTAAACCACACAAGGGGAAACCGGCCAACTAAAAAGCCCAGAACCACAGTAGAAAGAAACCAAACTGAAGACAACCGAAAATGGCCAAATTCCGGGAGCTGCCAGAACAGCGCTCACCTGGAACAATCGCTTCAGGTTTGCTCAGGGCAACCAGGCAGCAAGTGCTGTTGCGGCATTGCACCAACAGTTTGGCGCTCTCAGTATGCGGGCGCAGCCAACAGGCGCACACCGGCTCAGGGTGCAGCCAACAGGGCGCTCACCTGATTGCAGTTTAAGATATAGGGTTGAAAA